ATAGGAAAGCTAAAACACAACATAATAAATGTTTTAGCGAAAATAGTTTGTGATTCGGGACTTATAATGACTCCTGAAATAATTATTTACATCTCTAAATAAAAAAATTCTTAAAAATTTTAAGAGTTTCACACTATCTACTATTCGATAACCAAGAATCCTCTCATAAAATATCTCACTAGAACTTATATGTCCATTGAAATCACGAGAAAAGTACCAAAATTGTCCATTAATTCTTTAGGAGGGACCAAAATGGTTCACAACTATTTTGAAGGACCAGTTTTGGCCCTCAACTCATTAAAGGTCTCAACATCCAAACTAATGGATGTTGAACTTAATGAAGTTTAAAATTAAGGGTATTTTTTAATAATTTTTTTAATTTGATTATTTATTAGATATAATTTTCAAGTAAATTTTTTTAATTAAATTATTTATTAGAAGTATTTTTTTAATTTAAATTGACATCGTTGTAGGATCAACACTCTGATTTGTCATTGGGATTTGATTACACTGCAGGATCGACGTTGGGACTCGATTGGACTGTCGGGTTAGCGCTCGAGATCGACGTTCATATTCATCAGCTCTATGGGAACGACTATGGGATCGACTGCGTGATGTAGTATGATTCATCTGCGTTGTGCTGCAGAATCAAGTCAGATTCGATAAAGGGATCAAAGCTACGGGCGGAGACTGGAAGGTGAATCCAAGCATGGGGTCGAAGCTGCGGGCGAAAGCTGGAAGGCGAATCCAAGCGTGGGGTCGAAGGTGCTGGGTTTCGACGCAAGCTTTATTTCACTTATTCTTTTTATTCTGATTATATCATTTACAAACCTTCCGTCATCCGAACTGTGCTTAATGTTTCCATTATTTTTTAACAGTGGGATAAAAAAGATCTCATTTTAAAGAGTTGATGGACCAAAACAGTCCCTCAAAATAGTTGGGAATCATTTTGATCCCTCTGAAAGATTTGATGGACCATTTTTGGTCCCTTTTTCTCTTGAAATCACTATAAATAACTATGCTTTCTTCATCAAGTATGCATTATAGTAGTTTATATATCTCTTCCTAAAAACTGATTTTTAAATCACCTTCTAATGTAACTCGGGAAGAATAAGCACAAACAGCATTCGAAATTTTTGCCGGTAAAATTTTAATAATAATTATCCAATCACTAACCCTATTAATCTCAATAATTTTATTTTTCAACTCTCTATTCACCAGTAGCCCAACTCCTTCTCTATTGAAAACCTTGCAAGAATACACTTACTGACTTATAACATGCCCCAGTATTCTTAATTATTTCTCTTTTCCATTCTGTATGTTGTTAACGAAAAATAGTTATTCTTCTTATTATCATAATGTCCACTAATTTTCTTCTCTTTCCCTTCAAATTACCAAATTAATAAGGAAATTCAATCCAAATTTAGGCCCAATCAACCCTTGCTTATTTTCACCATAATTGAGTTTATTTGTGGCACATCACTTACACGTGACGCCTTAGCCTGCCCTTTTTAGCTTTTTATCACAGTAGGATTAAGTTTGAACTCCGCCACTTAAGAGGGACTTCAGTGATCACTTATATTGCTTTGATTTCTCAGTAAGAACAATAAATTTTGTGAAAATTTGATACTTTGCCTATGCTACATGTAAACTAAGAATTTTCTAGTTCGCAAGCTGAAGCTACCAAACTGAACTGATGGTCGTGCAAGGGTAGCAAACCATAGAAGCATACATTGCTTTAACAACTTTTTAGTTATTGGAAATAACTGATGCAGAAGGCCATGCAAGAAATCCGAATGATATTGTAATTGATCTAATTATTTTTAGATCAGTCCATATGATACCGGCTCGCGTAAAACAGAGGCGGGGTAGTTACGCCTCCCAGGTAATTCCGTCTTCTGCGTGGGGTCCAACAGGCAGCAGTTAAGAGGGAATTAATGAAGGTTGGGAGGGAAAATTCAAAGGAGAGGCTGATTAGATATTTCCTTTATGATTGTATGCTTTAAGTAAGATGTTTTCCTGTGGTTAAGACATCGAGTGTTTTTTTCTGAATTGAGTTGTTATTCGCTGATTTGGGCTCTAGCAGCATCTAGAGATTTAGGAGAGTCGGCCTTCCTCTCCCATTGAGGATCAATTATATCTTGTGGTTTTCTTCTCTATTTCATCAATTGCAAAGAGTTTTCTTCCTTTATTTCTCTTAAATTTGTCTTGGATATTGGTCTTGGGGTGATAAAATTCAATTTCACCCAAGGGGAATTGATGTCTACAGTTATTTCCAATTAAATTGGTATAGGAGGAAATTTCTAGGCGGAAATATAAGTCTCATTGTCAATTCCTGTTCCGTTTTCTCTCCAATCTTATTGTTTTTTTCTGTTTGAAGACCGAACTACTGTTCTTTTTTGTGTTTTTTTTGTTCGGAGCCTAGATCCTGGTACCCATGGCAAGGAAAAAGGTAGAAGTGTTGGAAGGGTAGATCGGACAATTGAAATCTAAGTTTCAGATGTCCGAACTCAAGTTTCATATTTCTAAAGTCAAATTTCATACATCCACAAGAAGATCGATGTGAAATTTTCCATCCTGGAGGAGAAGTTGAAGAAGTTGCTCGATGGTCAAACCAAAGCGAGGGAAGCTGCTGATTGCCAAGAAAGTGGGGAAAACCCTAATCCAATAAGGAAAAGGGAAGATAAGGAGATAGAGATTGTGGAGGGAGAAGAGAGAATGCTTCCCCTAGAACATATTCCTAGGGAGGAGTCAGGTAGAGGGTATGGAGAGAGGCGTGAAGGGGTTGGGCATGAGCAGAGGGGTGTTGAATTTGAAAGGAGGGGCCGAATTTGGAAGGAAAAGCCTTGATTATGATCGAAGGGGTGCCAAATTTGAGAGGAAGGGGGCTGAATATAATCGAAGGGGTGCTAAATTTGAAGGGAGAAGGTGGACTTGTAATGAAAGGTTAGGGTACAAGCAGAGAATGGGTGATTTGCACAATTGGGGGGAACCACCCCCTTGGAAAATGGGAAATTTTGGGGAAACGGGGGTGATAGAGGAGATCTAAGGATGAGGAAGATGAAGATACATATTTTTGAGGGAGATGATGCACATGGATGGATCTACAGTGGAAAGGTACTTTACTTTACTGTCAATAGGTTGACAGAGGAGGAGTGACTAACGGCAATCGGGATGTGCTTGGAGGGGAAAACATTGGCATGGTTCCAGTGGAGGGATACGAGGCGACCCATACAGACCTGAAGGGAGTTTAAGGACTGCTTTTTGGAATGTTTTCGAACCAGCCGAGGAGGGGACTTCTATGAGCAGTTCTTCGCCCTTCTGCAGAAAGGGACAATGATGGAATACAGCGAGCTAGCTAACATACTGGACCAGCTTCCGGAGACTGTACTGGAGGGGAACTTTATGAAATAACTCGAACCAGATATTCAAGCGGCATAGATTTATGAGGCCTCATGATTTGGGAGAGGCTATAGAGCTAGCTCAGTCAGTGGAGGATCAGAGGCACCTAGAGAGAGGGATAGGAGGCAGCAGATCCAGAGGTTCATACAGGATGACCACCACCTTTTTGGCACCCAAGGAGCCGACATCGAGTACTCTTCAGGAGACCTCAAAGGATAAGACTATAGGTAAAAGACCTGAGAATAACTTCAAGAAGCTCACAGAAATAGAGTTATAGAAGAAGAGGGAGAAGGGGCTCTGTTTCATATGTGAGAAGAGGTATAAATCATGACACATATATAAGCACCGAACTCTTCATATTCTCACCATTTGTGATGACGAGGAAACTGAGGAGAGTGTCGTCTTTCCACCTTTTGGACAAGGTGGGTCTTTGGAAGGGAGGTATTGTTAGACCGGTCCAACCAGCCCATACGAGACCGGCTCACGTATAACAGAGGCGGGGGAGTTCAGCCTCCCAGGTGGTTCCGCCTTCCGCATGGGTCCAACAAGCAGCAGTTAAGAGGGAATTAATGAGGGTTGGGAGGAAAAATTCAAAGGAAGGGCTGATTAGTGATTTCCTTTATGATTGTCTGCTTTAAGTAGGATGCTTTCCTAGGGTTAGGGTATCGAGTACTTTTCTGAATTGAGTTGTTCTTCGTTGATTTGGGCTCTAGAGAAGTCAAGAGATTTTGGAGAGCCGAATCCTCCTCTCCAATTGAAAAACCATTGTATCTTGTAGTTTTCTTCTCTTTTTCAAAAATTGCAAAGAATTTTCTTCCGTTATTTCTCTTAAACTTGTCTTAGAGATTGGCTTTGGGGTGCTGAAATTCAATTTCAGCCAAGGGGGAATTGATTTCTGCAGTTATTTCCTATCATTAACATGCAAACAAACATTTCTAAAGTGGTATAAGATAATTTCAACAAATGAATAAAACTACCTTAAGCTGATTTTCCCTGGATGCACCTCCAGTCAATTTTAGGAGAGAATTCTGAAGGGTCGGTTTGTCTACGTTTGGTCTCGGCAGCAACAGGCTCCACCAAAAGCTCATTAATCGCTGGTCATCATCACCATCTTTGAAATGAGCGGGCAATTGTTCTCCCTATTTTTTTCTTAAGGTTTGAAATCCATTTTCCCTTTTACAAGCTATTCTCTTACATGTTTTTAACAGGTTTCTTACTTATAACATTGGTATGTCTTGTTAGCTAGAGTTTTGGGATAGATTAGATAGACGTGATCAACTTGTATCAGCAAAAAGAAAACATTCTGAGTGATGACTAAAAAGGTTGCCATATCCAGTGACAGAAGCATGGCCAATTCCTGGGAGATCAATTACAAACAGCTTGGGCGAAAAGCTATCAGTGTATGACAAACATCAACCAACATAAACAAGTTCTTTGTCCTTCGTCTAACAACTATTATACATAGCTTTTCAAGTCATTAGAAGCAACTGTTAAAGGCAAATTTGGCAAAATAGGTAATAACTAAAATAATTAAAAAACAGATTTTCAAAAGATAACAAACTAAACAAACTTTCTTAATATCACATGCAACAACATACCTGGCTACTCTCATGCACATCTGTAACTATAGGGAGGTCATAAGCGACTTTAACCTTCTCGAGAATCTACCAAGTCCAAATGCCAAAAAACTTCTTTAAGGAATGTAGACATCTAAAATCAGTAACTTCAAGAAAATAACTTTAAAAAAAAGAAAGAAAAACAAAATATGTAAAAATTAGATAAAGCATCATAACTGTTTCTGATAACTTCTTTCAAGAAGTTAACATTTGAATAGTACTAGAAAAAAAATGCATGGATACAAACATCAAAAACTAGATATGTCTGAAAAAACAAGTCCTCCAATAATAACGTTTTTGCCACAATGTGATGCATACCTTCAAACCTTCTTCCAGGCCAGGTCCACGGAAAGATTTTGAGGAAGTACGATTGGCTTTGTCAAAGCTAGATTTAAAAACCAGAGGCAGACCAAACCTAGAAATGAACTTGGAAGTAAATTGACCTAAAAATATATAAAAAAATGGATTTTGTTTATATTATAAATATATTGCTTATAATATGGCCTACTTAGATACAATAGCCTTTGTATGTTTTGCCAACTTCAATATATGCTCTTCGGATTCAATCACATTGGGTCCAGCTAAGAGGAAAAATGGATCTGCAGCCTGTCCAATGTTGAAAAAGTTACAACTTGTCTGTTGTAGTAGCAATGTATGTTGATTTCAAGAGAGTCTTGGTACTTGCATACAAATATTACAAATAAAATGCACATCATACCTATGTTCTGAATAACTTATCTTTGATCCAAAATAAAAAATAATGGATTAGGAATAACTATTGCATATAAGTTGTGTCAATGCCTACCCAACTACAATTTATGGTTACTTTCTCGCTGATTTTGAAAAGTGAGTAAAAATATTGACATAGAACTGCTCTAAATATATTTGTGTAAACAGGAATGGAAATATATAATTCATTTACAACATAATAAGTTTCTTTTCATGGTCTCAAAGTAGTTCCACCATGAAAATGATTTATAAAACAACCATGCATAATTTTCTCGTCAAATTTTAAAAGTAGCACCGCTTCTTGGACCCTGAGAGCAAAATCTAATTGCATTGAGTGCATTTTGAAACATAAAAAGGAATACTTCTAGGGATGCAAAAAAAAACTGAGCATTCAACAAGCTACTCATGGTTCCGCTCGATAAGAGCTCATTCAATTTGCTAAATTAACTATTTGAATAAGCTTGAACATATTTATAAATAATCGGTTGTTAAATAAATAAGCTTTGAACATCTTCTTGTTCAACTCGTTTATGATCATGAATAATTTTGTCTGAGGCTCACAAACAATCTTGTAAAGATGCTCAATTAAGCATTCATATGATACTCATTATAAAGCTTGATTAAGGCTATGTATATTATTTCACACATTTAACAGTTAATTAATCAACTTATTTGATTCAAAGCTCGAATAAGGTTTGTGAAAAATGAAATATTAACATGAAATATTTTTATATCATGTCCTAAGAAAAAATTATTTGATAATTTTTTTAATTTTGGTTTAAGTTTCTCAACATATCAAAATACATTTGAATCAAATTTTTGAATTCAATGTAATGATTTACTTTAAGTAGAAAAATATTTATCAATAATTAATTTATCTTTATATAAGAAAATCTAACTTCATTTATATCATCTAATGTTATAAAACTTATTTTCTATATTCATCCAATTTTTCAATAATTTACATATATCTTCATCCATTAATATTCATTCAATTTTTTAAACAATAGCATGTTTGAAGCAACATTTTAGTCCCACATCAGCTGGATGTTTTAAGTTCTAGTGTTTTTATATCATATAAAGCACATCCACTTAATAGCAAACATGCTTGTGAGAGGCAGCTATGTATTGTTGGTTCTATTTGCATATTCTTATAAATGTATGTAAGAAAATTTTTAAAAGAATTTAATAAAATTAAATTATGTTTTTTTTTACTTAAAATAAATTAAATATTTTAAGCTCGTCTATCTTTAACAATATGTTACTTGTTTAAAACTTGATAAGTACAAAATGAGCAGCACAATAAACATAAATAAATCAAACACAAGAAAGAATGAATTTGAATGAATCGAGCCTGAACATTATTATGAAAGCACGAATCAAGCTCGAGCCAAATTTGAAAGGCTTTGGCTAAGCAAGCTTCAGCTAGAACAGCCTCTGACTCAACTTGGTTAAGTTCGTCTGTAACCCTAACAATTTCATAATGCATCACCTTAAAGATGGCATTTTATGCAAGAAAAAATTATTGGAGATAGCTTAAAGCCAAAGTTAATATGTTTTCCACATCCATCAGATGCAATAAACTAGGATTTGCCTTTATAATAATACAAGGCAACAAATTAAAATTGTTTTCACACTTGAAGGACAAAAAACTTCCTAAATTCACATTTTGAAAGAGTGATTAATTCAAAGTAAAATCATAACTGTCTAATTTAAAGATCCGAAACTTTCTCTGATTAGAAGTCTATAGCATACCACTAGATACCTAAAACCTAAAACATAAATGAATTCCATAATAATCATATAACCAAGAGAAAAGAAAACCTTGAGGTGATTGAATAAAGCCACAGAGCTATCCATCTTCTAACTCTGTTATAAGAAATTAAATGCCACAAACCAAAAGGAAGTCAGATGGAAGATATTGACATGATGGATAAATCAAAGCAAGCTTTTACAACTAGTAAAATTGATTGCACCATACTTAACACATTACATTATACTACTTCATTATCCTCCTGTCTAAAACTCAAAAAATAACCAGAAGGCCATAATTGATGAAAGTAATACTCAATGCATGCTGCATCTTCAAGTTTTTCTACCAACCAGACAATCTTTTTACGAAGCGTCCAATCAACCTTCAACGTGAGAAAGTACAAAAAAAAAAGAGATGAAAATAACATGAAGATCAAAGCAGAAACAACATATTTTGTCCTCAATATTTTGTTTTTCCTTTTTTGCAACTTAATAAAATAACGAGATGAAGCAACCATCATATTGGAATAAAATCAATTAAACCTATTCTCTTAACCATCCTTGATTTCCAAAGCAAGCTCAACATAAGAAATCATAAATCCAAATATTTTCAATGCAATTCATCAACCAAAAAGAAGAATAAGAACTAAATTATTACAAAAAATTTAGGTTTCAAGTTTAGAAGGAATGTCAAGGCTTCGTGCAACAGTTCTTCAGTTTTTTTTTTTCCCCCCTTCAAATCAACATACCACAATGACATAGACTTGACTGGGACAAAAACTGAAGAGCAGTACAGAAAAAAGAAAAAAAAAACACTCGTGTTTCATCATTAGCACAGCAGATCCAGCCAAGGCTGCAACTAAAAAACACCCGCCATTGGAAACAAATCACTCCAATTAAACAAACAGCAGCTAAAATTGAACTCTTAGGGGCTGTTTGGTATCGGATTTACAGCGGGATTTAAGTCGGATTTACGCTAAATCCAGCCAAACAGTTTTTGTGCTCGCGTTAAATCCCGGGATTCAGTAAATCCCGGATTTACGGATTTACAGCTTAAATCCGGGATTTAATAAATCCGAGGGGTAGCCGGATTTAGTAAATCCGAGCGGGATTTATCCGAAGAAGCGCGCGAAAGGGAGAAAGTTACCTCAGCCAGTGAGCTCCCGTTCTTGCTTCCGATCAAAATGTCGTAACTTCCGATCCGGGTTGAAGTCGTCGCAGGAGCGAAGTCGAACAGCCACGAAGAAGCCGAAGAAGCGACGCCTGCAATCTCTACCACTCCTATACGATGATATGTGCACCATAAAGCATTGCAGGCCTCACTACCATCTTATAGAATTTTCTCTTAAGTTTGAGGGGTACATTTTTATCACATAATAAGCCCGATTCATTCCTCCACTTCAACCATCCAACTTGAATTCTACTGATAATATCCCCATCTATTTCACCATCACTCTGAAAAATATAATGAATAATTAAAACTAATTAAATAATATTTTAAAATTAATTAAATTATTAGTAGGAGTATTAGTTATCTAAATAGTCATTAGATTAGTTTAATTGAATAATTGGTAGTATAAGTATTATTAATAATTTAAATAATTGATCATATAACATAATTTAAATATTAATAATTAATTAGATTAATTAAATAATTAGTAGTATTATTAGTAGTGTAATTAAATAATTTAATTTAATTTAAATGAATAATTAGTAGTATAATTGTTATTAGATTAGTTTAATCTTTAATTAATTAATTAAATCATTAGTATGAGTATTAGTAAAAAATAAAATAAAATTAATAAATATTAGTATGAGTATTAGTGAAATAATTTATATTTTCAAAAAATAATTAACTATTCAATATTAGTTTGTCATGTGCTCTTTATTGATTTTTGAGTTATATTGTATGAATTTAAGTTGTATTTTTATGTTGCATGCAATTATCTTAAATTTATAATTATTTTATTCACATTTAAATCCCTAACAATTATAAATCCTAAAATATGTTAACAAACAAATTTTCTAGGATTTAACAGAATTTAACATTTATCATTCCAAACAGTCTTCAAGGTTTAAAACCTCAGGATTTACTAAATCTCATTAAAGTTAAATCTCACTTGTTGCCAAGCAGCCCCTTAATGTGTCGTTCTTGCTTGTAGAAGGAAGAAACTCTAAAACCAACAGCTATTCTTTCACTCTTGAGAGAAAGAAGTCAAACTTAGCTTCCGATTTTTAGAGGAGACCAAACCCAAGACTTTAATCTTCTGAAAAGAAACACCTCAGGTGCCTTCAATCCTAAAGACGGTGCAACGAGCCCCCAGCTTCCTCCATCGCTCTTTGGTTTACAAGAAACCCAAGCACAGCCCTCTCTGACCCATCCACTCTCTCAATTTTTGCCAAGAATGAATGAACATAAAAAAAAAAAAGAACTCAGGTCTCTCTATTGGACTTGGAGTAGAAGTAGGGGTGCAATGAGTCGAGTCCAGTCAAGTTCGAGTCCATCGAGCTTGATCCCAGCTTGTCAACTATTTATGTGGCTTGAACCCGACCTTGAACTCGACTCAAATTTTATATCTTTAGCTCGATCCCAACTAGGGTGCTCGAACTCGGCTAGTTTATAGGCTTGATAGCTTGACTTTAAGTTCATTTTTAACAATCTAAACAACATTTAGAAAAGAAAATTAATGGCTACACTAAAAGCATGTTACGAGATGAAACTACTCGAGGAGGCAAAATACTTGATGTTAATGCCTTCCTTATTTTCTCCAAATAAAAGATAAATCTGAATAAGACAAATATGTTCCACCTCCCTAACATAAATAATCCTTATTTAAATTTGGATTTGTTGAATAAAAACAAAATTGAAATAAGACAAAAATAAATTCAAAATACCGTAGTTGGGTGACGGTGATCAAAAGGATCATAGTCGGCAAGTGACGAAGGTCGAAAAGATCATAGTCGGGTGACGATTGTTGGAATGACCGTAGTAAGAGGGTGACGGAGGTCAGAAAAATCATAATCGAGTGATGGTGGTCAGAATGACCGTAATCGGTGGGCAATGGAGGTCGGAAAGATCATAGTCGGAAAACTGTGGTTGGATGTATCATGGTTAGTGTGTGACAAAGGTTAAAAAGATTGTAGTCGAGTGAGAGTGGTCAGAAGGACCGTAGTCAGAATAGGGTTGTCGGAAGGATCGTAGTCGACAGGCCATGGAAGTCACAAAGACCATAATCAAGTGTCGACACTCAAAAGGATCATAATCAGACGATGGAGGTTGGAAAGATCGTACTCGGGTGAGATCGTGGTTGGTGGGAAATAGTGGATGAAAAGACTGTAGTTGAGTGATGATGATCGAAAAAACTGTAGTCGGCAAACAACGGAGGTCAGAAAGACCACAGTGGGGTGATGATGGTTGGACGTACCATAATAAGAGGATGATATAGGTCAAAAAGATCATAGTAGGGTGAAAATAGTTGGAAGGATCATAGTGGGGCGACGACAGTCGGGGATACCATAGTCTGGAGATGGTGGTCAAAGAAATCATAGTCTGCCGGCAATAGAGGTCTGAAAGACAGTAGTCGGGCGACTGTGATAGGAAGAATTGTAGTTGGCGGGTGACAGAGGTCGAAAAGACCGTAGTCACGTGACGAAGGTCGGAATGACCATAGTCCGGTGATGACCGTTGGAAGACCGTAATGAGTAGGCAGCGAATAACTGAAAAATCGTAGTTGGGCGAAGGTGGTTGGAAGGACCAAGGTCGGGTGACGGTGGTCAAGGAGACCGCAGTTGACGGGTGGCGGTGGTAAAAAGAATCCTAGTTAGGCGACGATCAACTGTTAGGCAAAAGTCCAACAATAGTTAGAGGTCAGGCAGACGTTTGGCGAAAGTCTAGTGATTGTTGGTTGTAGGCGGTGGTCAAGGAGGAGTATAGTGGCAAGAGAATTCTATAATTTCTCTAAATAAAAGATAAATCTAAATAAGACAAATCTGTTCCACCTCCCTAAAATAAATAATCTTTATTTAAATTTAGATTTGTTGAATAAAAACAAAATTGAAAGAAGACAGAAATAATATCAAAATATCATCGTTGGGTGACGATGATCAAAAGGACCATAGTCGGCAAGCGACGAAGGTCGAAAAGATCACAATCGGGTGACGATTGTTGGAATGGCCGTAGTAAGAGGGCGACGGAGGTCATAAAAATCATAATCGAGTGATGGTGGTTGGAAGGACCGTAATCGGTGGGCAACAGAGGTCGGAAAGATCATAGTCCGGAAACTGTGGTCAGATGTATTGTGGTTAGTGTGTGATAAAGGTTAAAAAGATCGTAGTCCGGTGAGGGTGGTTAAAAGGACCGTAGTCAGAATAGGGTTCAGAAGGACCATAGTCGGTAGGTCATGGAAGTCAGAAAGACCATAGTTAAGTGTCGGCACTCAAAAGGATTATAATCGGACGATGGAGGTTGGAAAGATCATACTCGGGTGAGATTGTGGTTGGTGGAAATTAGAGGATGAAAAGACTGTAGTCGAGTGATGGTGATCAGAAAGATCGTAGTCGGCAAACGATAGAGGTCAGAAAGACCATAGTGGGGTGATGTTGGTTGGACGTACTATAGTAAGAGGATGATATAGGTCAAAAAGATCATAGTCGGGTGAAAGTAGTTGGAAGGATCATAGTGGGGCGACGACGGTCGGGGGTACCATAGTCTGGAGATGGTTGTCCGAGAAATCATAGTTTACCGGCAATATAGGTTTGAAAGATCGTAGTCAGGCGACTGTGGTCGGAAGAACTGTAGTTGGCAGGTGACAGAGATTGAAAAGACCGTACTCAGGTGACGAAGGTCGGAATAACCATAGTCCGGTGATGACCGTTGGAAGGACTGTAATCAGTAGGTAGCGAAGAACTGAAAAATCGTAGTTGGGCAAAGGTGGTTGGAAGGACCAAGGTCGGGTGACGGTGGTCAGGGAGACCGCAGTTGACGGGTGATGGAGGTCGAAAGAATCCTAGTTCGATGACTTTCAATGGTTAGGCAGAAGTCCAACAATAGTTAGTCGTTAGGCGGACGTTTGGCAAAAGTCCAGTGATTGTTGGTGGTTGGGCGGTGGTCAAGGAGG